TACAGTGTTGGTTGGGACAGGTCACGGCAGATCACGCTGTCAAGACCCCTCAGCATGTCCCCAACAGGATCAGCAAGCTGGTGGCCGTGGCAGTCAAGCATAATTGCCCACAAGGATGAAGTCATTGCCCTCAAGGATAAACTCATTGCAGAAAAGGAAACGCAGCTGAAAGATCTCAAGACTCGCGAGGAAACACAGCTGAAAGATCTCAAGACTCGCGAGGATAAACTCATTGCAGAAAAGGATAAACTCATTGCAGAAAAGGATAAATTCATTGAAGAAAAGGATATACGCATTGCAGAAAAGGAAACACAGCTGAAAGATCTCAAGAGCCAATTGCTGCAACAGGAGATGCAAAGTCTCCAAGAATTATCGCGGGTCAAGGTCATAGCCAACAACCGAGCTCTGATTGAGAACGCCATGCAACAGTACAAGAGCGACTTGTCTCTCACGAAAGGTTTGGAGATGTTTGTGAACGAGCATTTGTTGACTGTAGGCCGTGACAAAACGACATTGAGTATGTATGGCAGAGAAGTCTGTAATAAGCTGCGAAACTTTGGCTTCGCAGCGAAGGAAGACTTTGTTCAGAAAGAACTTAAAAACCTCATACACGAGATCTCAAAACCTTTACACAGACCGCACGTATCGGGTAAGATTTACACAGGGTATGTGGTTGGAGGGGAACCGCCGCTTGCAGAAGCGCTTGCGATCGTGATCTCAAAACTTCAAGAATGCAAGTTCGTGAAAAACCTGGATGTCCTGCTGGTCGATGGGGAAGGGAAATGCAAGTGCGTGCTGAGTAATGGAGACATCGTTGAATACGGTGAAGCGTAGTCTACGATCTACATGTCGTTATCAACGTGATGTATTGCTTTCTGCCAGTGAATGAGCCGGTTCCTCCCCTTTGAGAAGCCGACGCAGCCTCTTCGGGATTTTTTTGCATATAAACGAAAACAAAGAAGCGTATCCTTGATAGCAACGAGTTCCCTGTCCGTCGTGTCATGATTGCGCTCGGTAGCAGTCAACAGCCTGCTGTAGTATCCAACGTCGCGAGGGCCGTCTGGTCGCGCGAATGAGGAATCACTGGCTAAAATATAGGCTGAAATGATTCATTTCAGAGAGTACGCAGACAGGATTGCAGCAGGTCAGAATAACATGCAAGTAGTCAACGAGAATACATCAATGCACAGCAGCAGCTCGTGTGCCAGCTGCTCGTTGGTTATCCGGCCGGGCAGCGAAGACAGCCCGGACGCATTCGTCGAGGACGGTAGCTCTGCGAGCCTCGATCTGCTCTCCTGGGCGTCAGGGCTGATGTGTGACTCCGCGCGGTAGAGGGCGATTGATGCGCTCGGTGAGCTTGTACTCGTCCGGGACTTTCCAGTCCTTGAAGCGAGCAAGGTAGACGTTGAGCTGCTTAAGGAAGGGCCTCCACGAGCAATACCCCCCCGCCTCAGCATCATCATTGGCATCATGGCATCGTGCCTCCATGCAGCACTGAGTGCGTTCGGGGCGCTATGGCGGGGAATTTAGGGGGGGCTGCATGCCATGGCAGCCGGAATGTCACGAGAAAATTCAAATCAATTTTTTGGCGGGCAAAGCTATGTTGTGCCCCAGCGGCGAAGAACTGAAAACATGCTCATCATGCCATAGACGAAGAGAGATGATCGGACCAGCATTCGAAAGTGCCATGGCCCTGCCAGTGTGTCTACTATGTCACAGTGTGCACATCTTGTGTTACCAAGTTGCTAGGTTCAAAAACCACAAGACTCGCAATGATCTTGAGCGGCTGTTCTTGCTCTCTAAACCGCTAAAAGGTGGCACATTACCACTCGTAGCCTAGAGGGGGTAGTAGGTAGTCTCCGCATAATATAACGGGTGTATCGAAGTTTTTCACACACCACCACTAGCATCAGGTACCGGTGCTTGCGGCAGCTCTCTATGAAAAGATGATACAGGGGTGGTACTCGCAGCCTAGAGGGGGTAGTGCTTTCCCTCTCAGAGGTAGGTTGTCTCCGCATAATATAACGGTTGTATCGAAG